CGTGGGGTCGCCCTCTGTTGATGTCTTCCCCGCATAGGTGGTCTGGGCTGTGAGGGTCGTCCAGGAGCTTGTCCCAAACCTTCTTCCCTAGGCGATGGAACCTGACGTTGAGGGCCTCCGTTTTATTTCTCAGGTGAATGGTTTCCACTGTCTCCTGGTAGGGTGGCGCTTGGCCACTGGCTGACCTCAAACACTTTTTTTAGAAGCTCTGTAGTTGTTGTAGTCTGGTCTTCCCGAGTGTGACGAGTGGTACGTGTGGGTACTCCAACACAGGCCTCACCAGCGCTTTGTACAGGTCGACTTGTCTTCTCAGGGACCAGTTTAAAACGTTTTAATTTGGCGGCGGCGGCTTTGGCTTTCTTTAGTCGGTCCTTCACGTGGGACGTGATGCCCGTCCGAGAGATGGTGGGGCCGAGCAACTTGTCTTGTTTAGCGTACTTAATCTCTTCGTGGCTCTCTGCCACTGCGTCCCTCAGGGCGCCCAGTGACTCATCCACTGCCTGCTTTATTGAATCCTTGATGGTTCGTATCTCTGATTGCAAGACATTCCATGGTCTCGCTGACATTGCTGAGTTTTTGTGAGTCTGCTTCAGTTTCTTTCAGATCGTCTTTTAGGGTCTGGCTGTAGGCTACGATCGTCGACTGAGTGGTCTTTTTCGTGGTTAGAAATTTCCCTGGTGTCTTTTTGTTTGGTTATTTCGTTCAGCTTCTCCTGTTTCTTGACTTACCCGTTTCCTGAACAGGCAGGTGGCAGAGAAGGTCCTGTGGCCATCCTTGCAGACGACAAACTTTTTCTTCATTGTGGAAATGTTGATGAGATGCGCTCTCAGAGCATATGACGCCCTTGCAGGGGGCAGTTCTTGGTCATGTGGTCATTGCATTTGTATTTGTAGCACTTCATACATTGTTTGATGGGCGTATAGTTTTCATTTTCTATTTGGTGTGAGGAGATGGAAGTGCCAAAGGCATAGAGCCCCTTCTCCTTCATTCTTTTTGCATCCGTTGTGTCTGCAAAGCGAACCTTGATTATATTATTGGCATACATAGGATACACCTACACAACCTTGACATTGTTTTGCTTTTCTATTTAATCTCATATTTCTTCTGCAGTATTTTCTCCCACATCTTTGTCCAACTTCTTACAAACAAGGGTGAGCTTGGCGCCGTATTCCCGTGGGACAATGACCTCGTATCCTTTGCGGTTTTCATTTTGTCAATGGCACCAGATTTAAGTAGCTTATCAGCATCTTTATCTGTCTCTATGAGGATGATGTAACCATCTCTCAGAGCCATGAGTCTATTTATTATTACCCTTAGGTCGCTTAATAATGTTTTTAGCTCAAACCCCTGGGTCGGGGTTCCGGAGGTCTTCATTTTCACTTTGGCCATTGTTAGTTACATACATCAAAATTCTATACAAAGAAATAATTCAGAGCCCTACCTAATCTGTCCACCTCAGCAAAACCCCATGGATGCCGCTCTTTCTGTCCACTTGCTGGGCGAGTAAAGACGAGTTCAGGGGTAGGGTGAACAGACAATCCCCTGACGGGAGCCTAGCCAAGCCCTAACACCTAACAGTGGTAGGCTATGAAGCACTGCCGAATCCCTAAAAAATATTGTTGCCACCCTTACTGTTTCGACTCAGCAGCCCTCTGAGGGGCGGCCCCCCTTGTGGCTCTGCTCGCCAAAGTACGCGTCGTTACCAAACAGCAGGGACTCTAAGCGAAATGACGAGCTAGGGAAGAAGAGTAGTGAACAAGAATAATATTATCCATGTACAACAACAACATAAAGCAGCCAGAGCGAACCCAACGTGAAAATCAAGGCTGACAGTCGTAACTGTCGACAAATTTGAACACGAGCCTGGAGCGACACTCACCGTGTCCACCCTTCTCTGGTGGTTGGGTATGCTCTGAGTGATTTTCTACTGGCTCCGGTAGATTCATTTTATTATAAAATTATTTTACTGTACTAATATATTTTTTTCGAAGACAAATATGGAAAATAAAATGTAACTTAAAGTGATTTAAATTAATGTGATTTGCTCGACCATCAAACTGTTATAGTAGCAGCGTTGAGAATTTTCTGATGTTCTGGTTTTCAAGATATATATCATTAGCCTAATATGTTTGTTTGTATGTTGTATGTACATATATAGTATACATACATACATACATACATACATACATACATACATACATACATACATACATACATACATATATATATATATATATATATATATATATATATATATATATATATATATATATATATATATATATATATATATATATATATATATATATATATATACCCTTCTCTTGACTGTTGGTTACTCCCTGCTGTTGACATTTCAGTGTTACCAGTGTTTACAGTAAATAACATGAACCAAATTCAGAAACAAAATGTGATAATTTTTCATGCACACAAGCATAACTATACCCGGATTTGTATAAAATATTGTGAAGCTCGGGCGACAAGGTACCAGCTGGTGAGTGACATGGCGAAGACAGTTTTTAACCATCCTAGTTAATTACTGTCTCACTCCACTTACAATTATCACAACCACCAAAGAACTGTGGCGCTATGTAAAACCCTTCCAATAACCTTCGAATCACAAAATCTGCAACATGTCACTTTTAGTTAGAGTGGAACCAAACCCAGGTTGTGTACCTAACCAAACCTAACGTACCCTGGCTTTACTTAATTTCGTGAAAATAGTTCATCATTTTATTTCTAATGTCCATCCCAGGGAACCAGTCTGATAGAGTAAGGAAACAAACTAAGGGGGTTAGTTATCGTGAAGCACAGCTATGAGCTTAATATTTGTTCATCCTTGGAGAAAAATTCACACACACAGGGAAGAAAATTTTGTTTAATGCCGGAGTACTTGTTGAACTAGACTGCATAGTGAAGAAGAATTACTCTCATTTACCCAGAACACAAACCAAGGTTAGGTTAGCCTGTGACACTCATTATTACCACTACAGAATATATGGTTAAGGAAAGACGAGGGAGGAGGAGGAAGAGTCACCTATTGTGCTTTGAGTCGCTTGTTACAGTTGGGGAAGCGATGGCGGTCGAGTACAGTGTCAGGCGTATGGGATCCATTTTCAGGGTCTACGATAGCAATTCAAAGACCGCTTGTAAATATTTGAGAACTATTAGTGTCCAAAGCAGATTGTATTTAAATCTCGACAGGAGAGGCATGTTCAGCGCTCGTCAGTCGTACACAGTCACATGGGACCAAAGCCAAAGCCATTGGAAAGTCACAAAGCTTAAGCCGAAGCCAGCCATTTAAAATATCATGAACCCGAAGCCGAAGCTAAGGCTTTTTAAGGCAACACGATTTAAAAAAAAGTAGTGAGGTTAAATGGATAATTGAATCACTGCAAACAATTTACAGTGATGAAGAATTAAACAAAAAAACCCAGCCGAATCTAACTCACCAACCCGATAAAGTCACACGCACACACACCATCTCCGAGTCCACCAGGTGCCAAGTACAGTGATAGAGTTCTAGAAATAATCAAGACAGCAATATTTTCAATATACTTCTAAATTTTTCGAACTTTGGAATCTGGTCTGAATATATCCCTGTATAGACACTTATGTAGTTAAATGTAAAACAACCAATAAATGATTGTCACCAACAGTTACATTTTACATTCCAATAAATTGTCTTCCTCTACTGTCAAGCGTTATTCTGCATTATAATCTTCCCAACTGAGATACTATACACTTTACCTTCCTCAACCCCAGTCTTCCCCCGTGCACAAAAAGACAAGTACCCTGACACATACCCGCCGCCCCCCCCTCCCTCCCTCCCGCTCACTGGGCGAGTGCTTTGAATTAAGAGTTCAGTGTTTGGGGTTCAGACGTCAGGGAGAGAGAAGATTGGCAACGTTAATGGTAAACGTAGAGGTGGAGCCAACTGTACTTAAACTATCCAATCGGGAGCAAACTCGTAGCAATTGTTTTAATTATAAATTTAGATTTAGGCGTGAGATAAGTAAACACTGGTCTGGAAACAGAGTAGTGGATGAGTGGAACAAGTTGTGGGTGTGGAGGAACATGGCGAGCACAGTAAGTCCACCCAGGGGGGTTCAGTAAGCCCCCTCCAAGAATTTATTTATTTTTTAATCTGACCAATATCATTGTCAGTTTGAGGCTGTTTTGAAGCCATGTGCACTTGATATTAGGAGGTATTCTGAGGTAAAAAACAACTACTTTTCCCTATACAAAAATGCCTGTGTACAATACTGCATTAAGAAAAAACTATTGGAAATTTCTGATGTAAAGGGGGGTCCGGACCCCAAGAATCACCCTCCCTGGACCCGCCCTTGAGTTATCAAACATCATCATTAACTCGAACACGCTGGGTAGCTTCATATATAGGTTGGTCGGATATATGGACGATAGGGGTTGGGTGTAAACGGGGCTGCCTAGTGCGGGCCAATAGGCCCACTGCATTTTCCTCCATTAATATGTTCTGATGTTCTTAAATGTGAGTTGGTCATGTGACCTTAATCTGACCTTAAATGACCTGAGATCCAAATGATTCTTTTGAAAATTTGTCACCATATTTTTATACAGTCTACTAGTCTACTGATCGTTAGAAAGATTAATCCAGAAAATAGGAGACTTTTTTCTTAATTTGCAGTTTAATTTGGGGTTTTGTCCAACACCCGTTTTGACTCTTTTTATACGCTGATAAAAGTTGCTTATATTAACACTTTATAAATTTTATGCTATTCATTGTTTTCCTTTTATTAATTTTTCATCGTCATTTACTTTATTCATTCCTTCATTTATCTATTAATTTATTTTATTGATTAGTAATCGTCATTCATTTTATTAATTTATTTAATTGATTCATTTATTTCATTCAAGGGTGTTGTCGGTCAGGTTATTGTGAGAATAGTCCAATAGAAAGAGGAAGGATCAGCTGAGACGTAACTGAGGCTGTAGCATGGACCTGGGCTTTCAGCTCAACTATGACGTCACAATATGGTCAGTGTGTCCGCATAAAGAAGAAAATCCGAAGCCAGGCCCGTGGCTTCGAAGCTGAAACCGGTGTCATGCCTCTAACTTTGAAACCGAAGTCGAAGCCAAAATCCTGGCTTACAGAAGCCAAAGCCGGCTTCAACCCCATGTCAGGTGTGTGTGTATGTGTCTTGTTTAACATTATGAGCAATAAAACGGATGGGAGGCGGCTAATATCCATGTGACCCGATGTGTTTTACTCCGAGAATCACTCCCACAATGATTCACTGAAAAATAATTTAAAATGGAGGACTTATCGTGTTGACATGATATATATCTACACACACACAGACATGAACAAACACATAAACAGATATCTTGTATATTTACTCCACATTTTCCTTTCATATAGTGAGTTTGCACCAAGAGTTTACGATCGACCCCCCCCCTCACGGTACAATATTCTGTATAGTATGCAGTACCATGTAATATACTGTAATTTACTATGTAGTAACTCCTTGTAAAATTTCTGCTTTTAGTCCGTTTCATGTCCATCAAAAACTTATTATTATTATTATTATTATTATTATTATTATTATTATTATTATTATTATTATTATTATTATTATTATTATTATTATTATTATTATTATTATTATTATTATTATTATTATTATTATTATTATTATTATTATTATTATTATTATTATTATTATTATTATTATTATTATTATTATTATTATTATTATTATTATTATACATACGTATTCTGATCAGGCTCATCTCTTCATGTTAGGATGCAGTTTGACACACCGTACAGCCACTATCTCAACTAACTCAGTTATTATCATACAATTGTGGTAGCCAAGGCGAGGTTATACTCTCCTTGTCCATGAGAGTGTGCTAGAGTGAGTTATTTAGGGTGTGAGTGCGTTAGGGTATGTTTGCATTAGGGTACGTTTGTGATAGGGTGTAGGTGTGTTGTGTTGGGATATTTGCGTTAGCGAGTGATCCTGTGAGAGCGTTAGGGTGGGAATGTGTTAAGGTGTGTGTGTGTGTGTGTTAGGGTGTGAGTACGTTAGGGTGTGAGTACGTTAGGGTGTGAGTACGTTAGGGTGTGAGTGAGGTAGAGCGTTAGGGTGTGATATGCATAAAGGTATGTATGCGGTAGTACGAGTGTGTTAGGAAATGGGCTCATCAAGGTAGTGAATGAGTGCGTACAGTTAGAGTATGAAAGTGCGTATGAGTGCATTAATAGAGTATACGAGTATGACATTCTCTACGTCACACTATTATCTCGACAACTAATGAAAATACTACCTTTAAACTGAGGCTTACATCACCTCCTATATTAGCGTATCTTCAAGGCTCACTCAGACCCCCATGAGCGCTGAGCTGGGAGTGGCTGGCTGGAGTGTCCTGCTTATTCTATGGACACACTGGTAACTTTTATTATTATTGTTCTGCTGCTTTACGATTTCCATTTTTTATCAGCACTTCTCGGTATAATACGTCAGTGAACCCACACAACCCTGGTAAAGTGATAAAACCTCAAATATTTTAAATTTACGGTCAAATAATTCCAGATATTTTAAGTTTATGGTCAATCTCTTGATACTTGAGCACAAAAAAATCTATAAAAATTACGATCATTTTTATGTTTCCCTCCCGGACCTGCATCGACCTTGAAATCAATGTTGGAATTCTATTTTTTTTTCATCAAACATTTGCAATCGTAAAAGTGATTTATGAAGACTATCGTAACACGAAAAAAACGGCGGTGCATCAATGGCGAAGGTGGGGAGGTAAATTTACCTTGTCGGAGGTACAAACACGGCAGTTTCCCCCTCTTATACAGCGCCCTGCCGACACCCACAACGCCCCTTACTTTGTTGGGTCATGCACCGATTTGATCCACATAAAGATTTGCTGGAGCACATATGTATTGATTTCTGTGCCCCCCCCCCCCACCTCTCCTCCTTTTATCAATCCCCTGCCGTATATACTGCATACATTATGCATGTGTGTCACACTCCTGCTGCTGACAGTGACAGCCACTTCCTGACATGCTGACCGTGGACACAGTAAGAATTCTTGTTTGGCAAGTGCATGGTGATGATCGAGATATCCAGACCTCGTGACTTCATCTAATCCTAATATATACTAAAGTAACATTAAATCACTGAGATGACAACGCTCCTGACACGTCTGACTGCTCTGCAAACAGTGAGAGTTAGTTCTTCCCAATGCTTATAATGACACCTCCCAGCCACTCAGACAGTGTACAAACCTTCCAAGAAGCTTCATTCTGTCAGAAAGTTACAGACATTATACAAGAAAAAAACACAATATGTGGACATGGCCGAGCGACGTTTTTGATAGTTGTAGCCGTCTTGAAAAGTTTACAGTTCAATATCTAAAGGGGCATCATTTCATGGGTTCAAAGGCAGGATACTGTGTGTGTGTGTGTGTATATATATATATATATATATATATATATATATATATATATATATATATATATATATATATATATATATATATATATGTGTGTGTGTGTGTGTGTGTGTGTGTGTGTGTGTGTGTGTGTGTGTGAGTGTGTGAAGATGTCAATATTGTTTTATATATGGTCAGGTCTGGGGCTTAAATTTGGCATGACTAATATTTGGTCCAGCAGCCTTCACAGGGACGTTTTTACACACACACACACATATATATATATATATATATATATATATATATATATATATATATATATATATATATATATATATATATATATATATATAGGGAAGCAATGAACCTTGGCTTTCGTCTTTGTAAAGACATTTTCAGGCAACTGAGATGTCTTAAATAAAGACGAAAATAAAGTTCTCCATTGTTTCCTTTTCCCTATTTTTATCAAGATTTATCTTATCCGTTTCCATTGTGGATCTACATGGAAAAAAAAAATATATATATATATATATATATATATATATATATATATATATATATATATATATATATATATATATATATATATATATATATACACGCGCACACACGCACAATTAAACATAGACCTACACAAACTTTCACACACACACACGCACACAAACATACAGTATATTTTCAGCCACCGGCTGCAACTCTATTAATAAACCGTTTATTATTATTATTACATATATACGCTCAATAATAATAGTTGCCCCTCGTGTAACGAGGATGGCCGGCCCAAGGTCAGGATACTGTGGCGTGAATTTGTTTTAAGTTGTAGAAGCTGTCGCCAACAATACAACCACACCTTGAGTTAACGAGTTGCTTGACCCAGTGTCAAGGAATAGTCCGAGAAGACCAGACAATTTGCCAACTGCACTGGCTAACCATTACCCCGAAATACGATCCGCAAATCTATTAACATCCAGGTCCCCAGTTACTGCTGGGTAGACAGAGGCAAATGGCGTAAAGAAACTTGCCCATAGTTTCACCCTACACACGCAAACACACATATGCACACAAACACACACACGTGCATTCACACACGCATACACATACACACTTATACACACACATACACACCACTTAAACGCACACACATACACACCACTTAAACGCACACACATACACATAAACACACACACACACACACAGACGTGCACAATTAAACATAGACCTACACAAACTTACACACACGCACACACACACACACACACATGCATACGTACACACACACATGCACACACATGCAAACTTACACTCATACACATATACACTTACACACTTACACACACAAAACTATGCCACATTTGAACCCCAGAAATTACTTCTTAAATACACAGCCCGACTATCGTGGTGTCAACGGTGTTATTCTGATCCAGTTGACTCTCTTATCTCTTGTGGACGATAACCGGGAAGCTCGTAGATATATTGACGAGATAACAGCCATGAGAGATTAGGGAGAAATCAGACAAGAGTCGTTATCAAATCTATCTACTAATAACATGACAATTTTAGCGCTGCCGACAAGTGGTGAGCCTAATGAAGCTGGGGCCGCATACTCAAAAACATTTCCGGGACTGTATCTCTTTGTTTACCCCGTAACTGGACTTACAGTCTCCGATAGGTATACTCAAAACAAATATTTGGCAGCGGACTCCATAAGTGAGCCCGTAATCTAGCTCCTAACTTACAGCACCTAAGGAGGTGCTGTAACACGATCAACCCGGATATAGTAGTCGCTATTTCCCGAGAGCATAAGAAAAATTAATAATATATGTTGTAATGATGTTTGTTAGACTTGTTTAATCATAGAATAATGAAGAAACTGTTTTGTACATCAACAAACTAAAATAGGATATTTCAGTTTGTCTTTTTAGTTAATTTTTGTTTAAGATAAGAAGAGGCTCGAGTGTTTCCATTTCTCGCAGAATGGAAGAGACGCAGCTTATGTCTTCTTACAACTTTTCAAGTAATTTATACCAAAATAGACTTTTATTGGCCACATTTATGGTACAATTTTTTTTATGACTGAGTAAACTTGTAGATAGACCTTATTAATGTGGTATAGCTGTAAATATCCTTCAGTAATGAAAGCTAATTATGAGGTCAAGTGAACATTTTTGCCGAGACTCCGCCTTTGTTAGGACCAAGTTATAACAAGTTATTCTGCCAAGTATCCAATAAGTACCCATGACTCAGCGTTAAATAATACCTAACCTAATCTAAGTTCATCAAACCTAATAAAAAAAGAGCGGGGGGGGGATAAAAATAAGTGGTAAAGCATTTTTCTTATATTCATAGGTTTATATCCAATAAATTCAGAAGTGATTTTTTGCTACAAAATTAGTGAAATGTATCTTACCCTAACAAAGCCTAACCTTAACTAATCTTACCTTACCTTATCTAACCTAACCTAATGTTACTCCACCAAACCTAGCCTAAAAATGCTGCAATGCACATGACAAACAATTAAGTTCTCTAGAAAAATTTCAATTTCTTTTAAAAAAATACATTTTCTGAGATAAACTTTTTATAACCATTTCTCCAACATATCTATAAATCTGTTGATGATATACAAATGTAACTTAGGATGCCACTATTATGCTTTTTAACCTTTATGCATTTTAAATTTAGGTTAGGTTATGTAAGGCATGTTAAGTTTAGGTTAGGTTAGATTAGGTATGGTTAGGTTA